TTTTTTTGTGGGAATATATATGTGTTTGTTTTTCGCCCCCCGTCTTGCTGCACCCCCTGGGGTGTGGTGCAGGGCGGGGGATGCCTGGTCGGCGGGAACCCGGCACGGAACTCTCCGGCGTTGTAGGCGGGTGTGGGAAGCGTTCCCCGTTCTCCTTTTATTTTATTTTGATCGGTCTCCTCGACGCTCTTTCTCGTTTGGTGCGGTAGCTGGTCTTTCTTTCTATCATTTTGTTTCTCTTCCGAGTGGTTTTTGTACCCTATTTTTTTTCTGTTTCTTCGTGGGGTCGTGTATGCCGGGTTTTGAGACCACGGGCTCCCAGTCTTTTTTTTTTTTAGAGCTAATGTGAGAAACAACAACAACAACAACAACATGCAGCAGGCGCAAAAACGGCTCTTTTCGGCCCAAAGGCAAGAACGTCAGCAGAGCAACAATGTGGCAGGGTTGACGTTTTCGGCTCGTGTGTGACCAACACGACGCAGAACGCCCTGAATATTAGATACCTGCAGAGGGTTTGTGCATGACCTCATGATACTGACCTCTGTTTGGCTGGCAGACGGTGTAGTTCCTCGTTCTGGCATGATCGGGGTGTGACCAGGGGGTGAGCCCCTCCAATTCCAAACTGGAAATTATCAGCCGATTCAGTTTGGAAATGGGCCTATTATCCAACGCGGCAGGTGGGATCCTAGGAAATATTCGGCGATTTGGAATTTGGGCGTTTGGAAATGGCCAAACTCCTCCGCGTAAGACGCTCAAAACAATTATTTGGGCCGAGAAAAGGACCTCCCCCCCCAAAAAATCCCGAAACAGTCACGACGCAAGACTCGGCCTGACAAGTCATTTTTTGCAAAGGTTTCGTCCGTAAACACACAAAGGGAAACGCCAAGCTATAGTCTAACCAGTGTACATATGTCACCATGATAAAAGTTGTACAATAAATTTGTCCATGAAAAGGCGCTGCCTGCTTCTCGAACCTGCTCGTGCGCCATGATAATCGCATGCTACATGTGCTATACACACGAACATGTTTGGTTCTGCCAAGGTCAGCAGTTGCAGCAGTGCTGCACGACTGAAAAAATAAAAGGAAGTGTGAGAAAAAAAGTGTCCAACGGGAAAGCAGCCCCCTGTGGGAACCCCTCTGATCAGGCGGCTCGCGGCGCAACAGACCTCCACACCCAGCACCGGCTCTAGAGGGCGAACCAGAGGCTAAACTGCCCAGACAACACGAGAGGTATGTTAACACGATGCAAGGGTTCAGCAGGGTATGTTTTATACGCCCAGGTACACATGGTTGGGTGAGTAATTTAGACTTAGCTAGAGCGTACCACACTGCGGCAGCTCCAAAATCCGCGAGGAAGCTTCACACGCGAGCCGACCTCTGCGCAAGGTTTGGCGTCTTGCAGCCTAATTATCCTGCCGACATATATCTAGGCCTCATTGCCACCTAATGCGAAAGGTTTGAGGCGATTTTGTGCGGTAGAGAATAAGCATGGTGTGTTCAAAATTCGAATTTCAGGAGAGCCGACGCCGGGGAGTTCGAACGCACGCTCTTGCATGTTGCGCATGTACATCCACTGGATACATAACCCCCATCCAAAGATACTATGGAAATGCCCGATACAGTCCGGCCGCCACAACAATTTAGAGGAAATCTGGACTTCGAGAGGGCAAGTAAGTCTGTCTTGAAGCTAAAATTAGACTCGATGCTTTGCCATCGTACGAGTCAAACATGACCCGGGGCGCTCAGCTACGTACACTCCAGACCGTGCATATACAGCAGGAGATTGAAAGGCCGCATAAATGTCGAGTCGGGCATATATAGTACGTAGATCGACAGCTTTCAGTCCGCCATGCTCTCAGGTACATAAATAAGCATGCCCATACAGAGGGTCATATGTTATGCATGGCTGCCAAGAGACAACGAAGCGCGCTTACAGACATAGCATAGGTGTGCGCCTGCGTAGGCTGTACGTCTCACATGAAATTTTGTAATTTTTGGTCGTATGCCATGGCCAGGTATTGAATGCATGGGATAACGGCCGGCACAGGTCGTGCTGACAGATGACCCGTCGGAGAGGTAGGCGGGGCAACCGGGCTGGTGGGGCTAACAACCCCACAGGTCAACCGGCTACGCTACCGGATACGCCTCGGAACCAGCCTGGGAGCTCTAGTACACCCGGAAGCGGGGGTTTGCAGCCAGCATGGGACCTTCGTCAGCTTAACGAAGGCACGCTAACCCCGCGTACTCCAGTGGTCGACAACTCAGGGGGAGACGTAACAAGTGAACGTCCACGGATCGGGAGCAGGAGAGAGAGCAACCTAATCACTGAGGTGCGCACCCCCCACGCCGCGACAAAGCGCGACGCGAGAGATTCCGGTGCACGCGTCCGTCGGACGGGAGTAAAATCCCGGTCAGGCAGGAAGCGCAGGAAAAGGCCCTCTGTTGGTGTCACGGGTGGTGGCCTACCGAATCTTGAGGGCAAGCTCGAGGAGGAGGATTACTGCACACAGCAGGGCGAGGCGAGGAGGGAGGCATCGGCCCCTAAAGCTCGCGCGATTGCCAAAGACGAACGGCGAAAAGCAGAGTCCGCGGGGAATCACCCCGTTGATCCTCGGCGTAGGAGTCACGGCGGGAACCCAAGACAAGCCCGTTATCAGCCTGGAAAGCGGAATGCGGGTAGGAGAGTTTCTGCCCCAGCGGTGCTATCTATGCTATCTATACGCCAACCAACAAGCAAGAAGTGAAGAAAGGCGTGCGAGCGTATGGAATGCGGATGGGTTACAGACCACCCTGGCACCGCGTGTAGCAAATGTCCCGGGTAGTGCACTCGGACGACGATAAGCTATGTTCGGCACGCCACAGGTCTCCGAATGACGACGGTTTCAAGCACCTCCGCCCGGACTGGTTAGGGCGAGCAGTAGACTTCGTGGCCGCGTGGACACAAGGAGAGAAAAACCTCCCTCCAGCCCTCGTGCGAGACTTTAGGCCCAGCAATGACTGCCTCTGCGCACGCCCAGACTGCTTCCTAGCTTTTGTCGCCAAGAGAATGGAGGGCAGAGTCTCGTGTTTGCGGTACTTGTGGGTAACGGAAATCGGGCAAGAGCATCGTAAGGTGGTACCCCATGGATGCTGTAGATGACGATGTCGCGGAGGGGAACGCAGCGGTGAGCGATGACCTTTGGTGGTGCGGCCGCTGCTTTCAGAAACGGTTGGACGGCAAAAAGAGAGACGAGAAACAGCCAGAGCGCCCAGCGAACAATGCGCATAGATCGAGGGGTGAGGCGCCGGTGCCTCCAGATCCGTTGGACACGGTGCGCGCTATGGTGGAAGAAGTCGTCCGTCGAGGTAAGATCCTGTACTGGCAGGACGTCGCCGATTGGGTAACAGCGGAACGCGCGAAGCTTGGCATGGAGGAGTTGCAAGGTAGATACCCAAGAAAATCGTCCGGGCCATATTTGCAAGCATCGAGGAGTCCGGGACTTTACGCTTGGTCAGTCACGAGCCAACACATGGAGACGCACGCGAGCGAGAACTTTTCCTCTTCCCAAACACCCTTGGGGACGAGCATCTCGTTGACTTAATGCTGCGTGCTCGCCGTAATGCACCCGTACAGCCACATTCCAACCAGCTAGCGGATAAGGGCGGGTCTCTCAAGTTGATTCTGGAGGAAGTCGAGAAGGACACGGAGGACGCAAACGCAAGGATGTCCGTCGTGCGGGAAGCTGGCACAAATTGTTCGAGCCGACGTGGAGAGTGATCCTGCCCTGAAGAACACCCCCGGGACGCGCGAGAAGCATCGCTACGCCCATGAGTTGGACATGAAAGTGAAGCCACCCAGAGAGAATCTACTAACCGCGTTTCCATCGGCCTTGGTTGGGTTATACCAAAGCATGACAAACATGGCACTGTATCGCGAGATCGTCGCATCAGAGACCGAGCATCCTGGAGTGCCCTGGGTATGGCAGACCGAAGGGCGAGACGGACGGCACCCTACCACCCCGGGCGACTTGGAGGGCGAGGACGGTGATGGAGAAAAGAAGGATGAGGTCAGTCAACCAGCAGTGACGGTGTCGTTAGGGCCACGAACCGAGGAACAGGCCAGACATATCGACAGCCTTAACCGCGACAGGCGATCCACGCATCGTAGGCTTCTAGTGATGTATACGGTGGTGGTGAAGGCCATTTTTCGTGGTCGGCACATTGGTTCGCACGACATCGAAGGGGCTCAGTGGGCAAAGTCTAAGGGTACGTGTCGCGATGTGATCAACTTTGTAGCACGGTTTGTGGGCGACGACGTCGCAAATTCAGCACCGAGAAGATTTCCACGCGAGGTTCGTAGAGGACAAGGACCTCCTGAGCCGGGACGCCGAGTGCGCCGCCATTCCCCTGGACAACTGATGTTGACCCGAGGTTGGAGTTGGCCAGGGGGAGGGGCCTCACCTTCTGTTCATCGCTGCGACGGCACTGACGGTAGGGCCCGACGTAGGTCGAATGGACAACTGGTGGTTGGTAAATAGCCGGGGATCTCTTACGGTGGAAGACGTCCTTGTGGGGCCGAAGCGGGACCGGGAGGACGGAGCACGGCGGTATAACGAGTTTTCGGTCGAACTCTACCGCGGCGTATTCGCTGAGGCGCGGAACAACTCCGACAGGGCTGCGGCAGACACATGCTTCGAGTCTGAACTCCGCACGGTAAGATACCATTTTTTTACTTTGTTCCACCTTGCTTTCTGGTTTCTCCACGACTTATCCCATCTGACTGAACGTATTCTACCCAATCATATATGGCGTTCGTCGATTCTGGGTCGCACCCTCCACACAATTCCTCGAACGCGTAGGCCATCACACCCGAGGGCAAATCGCCGCAGCAACTGCGATACGCGTTCATCCAGAAGGGTTCCACCAAGCGTTTCAGCGATATGAAGGGAGCCATCCAGCGCGTACAAGGTATCTGGTGTGGCTCCCTAGCCGGTAAGGCTGTTGCACCATTCATACTCGGTGGGGACGAGGAGACATACAGGCACATGTACCACGTCATGGCACAGGAGCCGCGCGAGTACCGACAAGTCCGCCGCTACCCCGGCGATTGGAATTTGCTGTTGCACATGGCCAAGGTGATGCTTAGGCGGTACTGGGGTGCTGGCGTGGAATTTCGTGGCGAAGGATTTGGGCACAGCCGGGTCGAAGTCGGGGGAGGGGAGCAACTACCGTCGGGCCCACCACCACANCCGCTACCCCGGCGATTGGAATTTGCTGTTGCACATGGCCAAGGTGATGCTTAGGCGGTACTGGGGTGCTGGCGTGGAATTTCGTGGCGAAGGATTTGGGCACAGCCGGGTCGAAGTCGGGGGAGGGGAGCAACTACCGTCGGGCCCACCACCACATAACGGCGTTTTGGGCGGCGTTTATGGCTCTGTGTCGACAGGGATACTTGAAGAATTTGCCGACGCCAGGTGACAGACAGGTGGAAGAGGACAAGGTGGTCGACGGGGGTGTATTGGGAATGGGGATGTTGCGCCCGGCATTATTGCACTTCAGATCTCCAAGTCGTACCGGAAGATCGTGTGGTCTGATGTATCTAACTCCATGTTTCAATGACATTTTTCGCGCGTCCTTGTTGGTGGTTGAACAGGTCCGCCCGTGCTTCACTGCCGTTGGATGCATCCGTCCACGAAATACGACGACCTCGGGGTACGACATATCAGACGGACGAACAGCGCGCGCGTTCTCCCCTGTATTTCCCTACCCAGTTGCGCAGGGAGGTGGACGGGGGGGATTATTTTTCGGCCGCGCTGGGTGTCTGTTGTTTATTGGCATAGTATTTTGTTAGTCGCAAACTGCCTGAAAGGTACGGGGGTGCTGTGTGCGTTCCGGGCCTGTCTGTGTCGTTTGTACTGACTGTAAATAAGGTGTTCGTTGTTTCCTTCAGTTCGGGCATGATGTTGATAGGTGTGGGCAACCCGGGGGGGGCAGTCTTGTGTGCGGTGTTCGTGTGCAAGTATTTCCTCGCGTTTTCGACACACCAAATGCTCAGTGCGTACAATGTATTCCTATGCTTTGAGAAAAAATACTTCAACAATTAGGATGTGTACATATTGCCGGCCGTGCCTGTCTGCGTGCGACGTCAGATAGCACAAAGTTATCAGTGATCAAGGTCCCTGTTAGTGTAGCTGCCGTGATACTGTCGCTACTCCATCCTCTCATAGTTTTTTCTCCGGGATTCCGGAGAGTTGTACTGCTGGGTGAGGTCCCCCAGTCAACAGACACAAGTGTGTGCGGTGCTACACCGCAGCAGGAGAGGGGGGCACCCCAACAGCAATTTCAGTTCAAATCTAGCTGACGCCATTCAAGAGTACTCCACGTGCAGTACGTCTTGCAGCACAATTCCAAGTGCTGTACAACCACAAGATCAGCAGCTAACAATATTATATTATTTTCAGTGGCCAAAATACGGTATACCGTGCTGGAATGTGGCCAAAGCACGGTACAGGGTAGAACGGCATACAAACGAGGCTGAATGGAGCCACGTGATTGGTCGAAATAGGACCGCACCCTCCGGTGGCCAATATATCGGACGGTATACCTTGCAGAGGCCACTCAGCTCGCGAGGCCACCGTGTACGGTAACCACATGTACCGTGTTTTGGCCACCTCGAGCGAGGCTGTTCGCTCAACCGACCGACGCATGTCAGGCCTCTCGCCAACGCCCCGCCGGTGACGTGGACGCGCAGTGCACACGCGATCGCGGACAAACTTTTGGGATGGATGCATTCCTTCTCTCTTTCTCTCGCATCTCGCACACCACACAACCACAAATTATTCACACACCACACACCACACACGAGCACCATGAGCGCCGCCGGTGGGCCGCCGCCTGCACCACACCATCTCCTTGGACATACGAGTCTCTGCGTTTGTCTTTCGCGCTCAGCTCATTCTGCAGAGAGAGCCGTAAAAATTGAGACTATCGCCCATACCGCCTCGCCTCATCAAGGTTAGGGCGTGTATGTCGTGTATCGTGGGTGACAAAAACTCGCCAAAAATCGCAAATGCGCGGAAACATACGCACACACATCACGCAACACCCACCGTCCCCTTGTTGGCGTATGTATGGACTAGTAGTCTACACACACATACACGCGGTGCCTACATAGCGGATAGTCTACAATATAAGTCTCGATAGGATCGGCTCGTATGCTGGAGTATGTAGTAGACTATTTCACGAGAAAACGTCCGAACTGCATGGTACTGCCCAACGAAGTATGTAGGGCCAAGGCCATGTAACAACTGTACATACTCAAACCTTGAGACAGCGCTTGTAGTACATTTCTGACATTCTCATGCAAGGTGACTCAAACACGTGAGCCGCACACATCTTGTAGGGTTTCCCACCGCGCTATTCATTTTGATTGAGCTCCCAAGTCTTTGGTGAAGGGGAAGTGGCATTGGTTGTGGTCACGATCAGGATACGCGCGATT